ATAATTTAACATAATATTTAATTAACTTATAAATAATTAATAATTGGTTTTTATGAATAAAAGGTCGCCGGCGGCTACCGTCCGAACGTGGGCGTCGGACCCCGTCCGAACATCGCCGTCGGACCCCGTACGAAAGTCTCAGTCGGACCCCGTCCGAACGTCGTCATCTGACCCCGTCCGAAAGTCTCCGTCGGACCCCTTCTGAACGTCGCCGTCGGACCTTGCCTCACCGTCCGTTTTCCTTCTTCGTGTACAAGGCCACGCAATTCAATAGAAACGACTAACTACAAAATAGCAAGATTATCGTAAAAAAAAACTAGGCATAAATCTTATTGTATAATTAATTTAACAAACATTCCTATAATTATGGGGTCAAAGTTACATCCGCCAGTGATCCCGTTTAATTTGCCTAATTATTAGTCTTCTTTATTTTATTAACTCTTTACATTCCACCATTTATTTTATGGGCTTAATTGTGTTAATTAAGGGAATTTTTCCTAATTAGGGAATTGAAACTGAACGTGGCTTATGGAATAAGATATGTTAATTAAGGATTTGTTTAGGATATCAATTAATTAATTGAAATTAGACGTGGGTGGTTGCTAATTAGGGATGTTGATTGGGGAAACTATAATTGCTTTTATCACAAATCATCATTTAATATAATAATTGCTATTATCACAATTTCCAAAATCATCATTTTTTTTTCGTACGACGCTCGGATGGGGTTCCAAAATCAATGCCGACATAAATAGCAATTATGACAAATCATCATTTAATATAATATTTAATTAATTTTGTAAATAATTAAAATGAATCTTTTTAAGGAAAAAAAATCATCGACGACAACCGATCGTCGGCGTCGGACCCCGTCCGATCGTCGGCGTCGGACCCCGTCCGATCGTCCGAACGTCCGACCTCGTCCTAACTTCATTGTCGGACCCCGTCCGCAGGTCGGCGTCGGACCGTGCTTCACTGTGCGTTCTCCTTCTTCGGAACCTGTCTCGCCGTCCGTTCACCGGCTTTTGACTGAGTCCACCTTCTAATCGCCGGCGTGTGACTTGATTGCGGAAGCGGCATGCGCGTGGGTGATGGCAGGATGGAAGAAGCAACGTGGGGAACAAATAAAATGGAGGGTCTTGGTTTATGATCTACGGGATTTGGGTTCATGGGGATTGGAGGAGTGGGTTTTGTGATCGGCGGTGGGGAAGGCTTAAGTTGAGGACGGTGGGGATTGGTGGATGGGTTGTGATCGGAGGTGAGGGGAAGTTTGTGTTCGCCGGCGGGGGATTTGGGTTGTGATCGGTCGGAAGTTCTTTGGTGGAAGGGTTTTCTAAGGTAAGGGCAAAAGTGTCTTTTGTTTTAAAATTATGGACGGCAAATAGCGATTTATCGGGCGGCAAATAGCGATTCTTCGAGGGTTGCTATTTGCCGCCCTAATATTTACTATTTGCCGCCCATAATTTTCGTGAAAATGTCATTTTTATCCCTCATCCATTATAACATCAAACCTCATTCCACAACCACAACACCAGCAGACCATCACCGTCGTTGGTGTCAAACCATGACCACCGCCGTCGTCAGACCGCCACCGCCGCCGTTTGACCGCCGCCGGTAATGGGGCAGGAATCACATGCTAACTCCATTTGGTAATCCGTTAATCATAAATCATAATTTAACATAATATTTAATTAACTTATAAATAATTAATAATTGGTTTTTATGAATAAAAGGTCGCCGGCGGCTACCGTCCGAACGTGGGCGTCGGACCCCGTCCGAACATCGCCGTCGGACCCCGTACGAAAGTCTCAGTCGGACCCCGTCCGAACGTCGTCATCTGACCCCGTCCGAAAGTCTCCGTCGGACCCCTTCTGAACGTCGCCGTCGGACCTTGCCTCACCGTCCGTTTTCCTTCTTCGTGTACAAGGCCACGCAATTCAATAGAAACGACTAACTACAAAATAGCAAGATTATCGTAAAAAAAAACTAGGCATAAATCTTATTGTATAATTAATTTAACAAACATTCCTATAATTATGGGGTCAAAGTTACATCCGCCAGTGATCCCGTTTAATTTGCCTAATTATTAGTCTTCTTTATTTTATTAACTCTTTACATTCCACCATTTATTTTATGGGCTTAATTGTGTTAATTAAGGGAATTTTTCCTAATTAGGGAATTGAAACTGAACGTGGCTTATGGAATAAGATATGTTAATTAAGGATTTGTTTAGGATATCAATTAATTAATTGAAATTAGACGTGGGTGGTTGCTAATTAGGGATGTTGATTGGGGAAACTATAATTGCTTTTATCACAAATCATCATTTAATATAATAATTGCTATTATCACAATTTCCAAAATCATCATTTTTTTTTCGTACGACGCTCGGATGGGGTTCCAAAATCAATGCCGACATAAATAGCAATTATGACAAATCATCATTTAATATAATATTTAATTAATTTTGTAAATAATTAAAATGAATCTTTTTAAGGAAAAAAAATCATCGACGACAACCGATCGTCGGCGTCGGACCCCGTCCGATCGTCGGCGTCGGACCCCGTCCGATCGTCCGAACGTCCGACCTCGTCCTAACTTCATTGTCGGACCCCGTCCGCAGGTCGGCGTCGGACCGTGCTTCACTGTGCGTTCTCCTTCTTCGGAACCTGTCTCGCCGTCCGTTCACCGGCTTTTGACTGAGTCCACCTTCTAATCGCCGGCGTGTGACTTGATTGCGGAAGCGGCATGCGCGTGGGTGATGGCAGGATGGAAGAAGCAACGTGGGGAACAAATAAAATGGAGGGTCTTGGTTTATGATCTACGGGATTTGGGTTCATGGGGATTGGAGGAGTGGGTTTTGTGATCGGCGGTGGGGAAGGCTTAAGTTGAGGACGGTGGGGATTGGTGGATGGGTTGTGATCGGAGGTGAGGGGAAGTTTGTGTTCGCCGGCGGGGGATTTGGGTTGTGATCGGTCGGAAGTTCTTTGGTGGAAGGGTTTTCTAAGGTAAGGGCAAAAGTGTCTTTTGTTTTAAAATTATGGACGGCAAATAGCGATTTATCGGGCGGCAAATAGCGATTCTTCGAGGGTTGCTATTTGCCGCCCTAATATTTACTATTTGCCGCCCATAATTTTCGTGAAAATGTCATTTTTATCCCTCATCCATTATAACATCAAACCTCATTCCACAACCACAACACCAGCAGACCATCACCGTCGTTGGTGTCAAACCATGACCACCGCCGTCGTCAGACCGCCACCGCCGCCGTTTGACCGCCGCCGGTAATGGGGCAGGAATCACATGCTAACTCCATTTGGTAATCCGTTAATCATAAATCATAATTTAACATAATATTTAATTAACTTATAAATAATTAATAATTGGTTTTTATGAATAAAAGGTCGCCGGCGGCTACCGTCCGAACGTGGGCGTCGGACCCCGTCCGAACATCGCCGTCGGACCCCGTACGAAAGTCTCAGTCGGACCCCGTCCGAACGTCGTCATCTGACCCCGTCCGAAAGTCTCCGTCGGACCCCTTCTGAACGTCGCCGTCGGACCTTGCCTCACCGTCCGTTTTCCTTCTTCGTGTACAAGGCCACGCAATTCAATAGAAACGACTAACTACAAAATAGCAAGATTATCGTAAAAAAAAACTAGGCATAAATCTTATTGTATAATTAATTTAACAAACATTCCTATAATTATGGGGTCAAAGTTACATCCGCCAGTGATCCCGTTTAATTTGCCTAATTATTAGTCTTCTTTATTTTATTAACTCTTTACATTCCACCATTTATTTTATGGGCTTAATTGTGTTAATTAAGGGAATTTTTCCTAATTAGGGAATTGAAACTGAACGTGGCTTATGGAATAAGATATGTTAATTAAGGATTTGTTTAGGATATCAATTAATTAATTGAAATTAGACGTGGGTGGTTGCTAATTAGGGATGTTGATTGGGGAAACTATAATTGCTTTTATCACAAATCATCATTTAATATAATAATTGCTATTATCACAATTTCCAAAATCATCATTTTTTTTTCGTACGACGCTCGGATGGGGTTCCAAAATCAATGCCGACATAAATAGCAATTATGACAAATCATCATTTAATATAATATTTAATTAATTTTGTAAATAATTAAAATGAATCTTTTTAAGGAAAAAAAATCATCGACGACAACCGATCGTCGGCGTCGGACCCCGTCCGATCGTCGGCGTCGGACCCCGTCCGATCGTCCGAACGTCCGACCTCGTCCTAACTTCATTGTCGGACCCCGTCCGCAGGTCGGCGTCGGACCGTGCTTCACTGTGCGTTCTCCTTCTTCGGAACCTGTCTCGCCGTCCGTTCACCGGCTTTTGACTGAGTCCACCTTCTAATCGCCGGCGTGTGACTTGATTGCGGAAGCGGCATGCGCGTGGGTGATGGCAGGATGGAAGAAGCAACGTGGGGAACAAATAAAATGGAGGGTCTTGGTTTATGATCTACGGGATTTGGGTTCATGGGGATTGGAGGAGTGGGTTTTGTGATCGGCGGTGGGGAAGGCTTAAGTTGAGGACGGTGGGGATTGGTGGATGGGTTGTGATCGGAGGTGAGGGGAAGTTTGTGTTCGCCGGCGGGGGATTTGGGTTGTGATCGGTCGGAAGTTCTTTGGTGGAAGGGTTTTCTAAGGTAAGGGCAAAAGTGTCTTTTGTTTTAAAATTATGGACGGCAAATAGCGATTTATCGGGCGGCAAATAGCGATTCAGTCTTCTCAACTGGAGGGCCATCAGGATTCTTCTGGCCCAATACAACCCACTGGGCCTTCTTTCTGCGCCCTCTTTAAGTATACCCAGCTATGAAGGGAAACTTGTCGAGACGAAAATCATCCAAGACCTGAGAAATGAGTCTCCGAAACTGAACCAATATTACTTCCATTTCAACCTCAAACCAAGAAGACTCAAGAAACAAGTGTCGGAAATAGAATGCTCTAACTTTCATCTTGATGTTGTCTCCAAACATAAAAGATTGCACCTTTCCCTCCAATTGTGACTAGCGGTTACATGCACAAGGCCCTCCCAAGCTCTGCAACGAAAAAGTTACCTGCAAAACAACAAGGAAGGATTGACTGGTTTACGTCTCAACATAACAAAAGTTCACACAACTATCTAGCCCAAGAACTGAGGATCTAGCAGCAAACCCACCAAATCAGCAAACTCCAAAACACTCTCTCTTGTTCACAAATCACAACTGCAATCACCATGGCAGAGACAGCATTAAAACCTTGTTCATAACGTAAAATTTCAAAAGATATTCATTTTATGCCCCACATAAACACCGCCAGCAAGCAGAATAATGAAGATATTTGTTCCCTAATAAAGTCATTCAACTGACCTATCAAGAAAAATGAAAGCAATTGAATATTCACCATTAATCTTTTTGCGAAAGAACAAACCCACTACGTGGCTGTCCAATCAGGATGAAGCCAAAAGAGTCCCCCTCTCTTCCCCCCTTCGACAACCACAACAACCATTGTCACTGTCGGTATTCCCTTCTGCAACTATTTTTATACTTTCTCAACTCCTTAATTCACCAATCATCCCAGAAAACTCCATCCTCTCAGTATCACCACCACCTCAATCTAAACTCCATGTTCAAAGCAGCCATCTACGCTTTCCTCACCTTCACCACCTCTTTCACCTCCTCCTTCTTCTTCTTCTTCCCCAACCCTCCAAAGTCCCACTACCACTCCCTCTTCCTCTCCGCCTCCCTCTCCGACAATGCCTCCATCTCACACAACCTCTACATGCTCACCCGCCGCCCACACGTCGCCGGCACCGAGGCCAACGCCGAGACGGCCGACTACGTACTCACCACCCTCACTTCCCACAAAGTCAACTCCCACATCGTCTCCTACGATGTGGCCCTGACTTACCCTGCATCACGCTCCCTCACACTGACCCCTGCACCGGGCCATCCGCCGATCGCATTCGACCTCAGCCAGGCGATCTACGACAACGACCCTTACGCCGACGTGGCAGACCAGGTCATGCCCACTTTCCACGGGTTTGGGAAGTCAGGGACGGTGTCGGCGCCGGTGACTTACGCCAACTACGGAAGGGTGGAGGATTTCTTGACTTTGAAGGAAATGGGGGTGGAAGTGAATGGGACGATCGTTTTGGCTAAGTATGGGAAGATTTACAGAGGGGATATTGTGGATAATTCGTATGCGGAAGGTGCTGTGGGGACGATTATATATACGGATACGAAAGACTATGGTGGTGGTGGAAAAGGGTTGTTTCCTGATGGGAGATGGATGCCGCCGACGGGTGTGCAGGTGGGTTCGGTGTACAGCGAAGCAGGGGATCCTACTACGCCTGGATGGCCGAGCAGTGAAGGTTGTGAGAGGATTGATTATGAAGAAGTTGAGAAGTCAGGGGTGGTTCCGATGATACCGTCTTTGCCGGTATCGGGTCAGGATGGGGAGGTGATTGTGAAGTCAATTGGTGGGAAGGTCGCTAATGGTGATTGGCAGGGGAGTGAGGATGGTCCTGTTTACAGGGTTGGACCAGGGCCAGGGGTTTTGAATCTTAGCTATACTGTAAGTCATTTGCTCATCATATGTTGATGGAAAATTGTATTCTACTGCTGTAACATGAACTTACTTACTGCTGAGATGTTGGATTCAGGCGACAAAGACGATAGCAGCAATTCATAACGTTATTGGAGTGATTGAAGGGGCAGAGGAACCTGATCGGTAAGGAAAAGTTTAAAAGCATTGCGATTAGAGTAATTTGGCAGTGAATGAAATGACTGAGAAGAATAGAATTCGAGAGCATAGGCAAAAGTGACTTACATGTGAATGATAGTATGCATTTATCTGCTACAACTTTGTAGCTTTGTCCTCCTGGGAAATCATCGCGACGCATGGACATTTGGAGCAGCTGATCCGAACAGTGGAACTGCAGCACTGCTCGAGGTAGGTAGTCACGGTCCCAGAATATTTGCATGAAACAGAGCAGATGGGAGATAGATATTAACTGAATGAAACACAGGTTGCTCAAAGACTAGGAAAGCTGCAGAAGGAAGGGTGGAAACCTCGAAGAACAATTATCTTTTGCAATTGGGATGCGGAGGAGTATGGCCTGGTATCTAGTCTCTCTTTTCCCCCCTCTATCGCATTTATGTGTGTGAATGTAATGTATGCAGAAGGAGAGCATAAACCTTCTGCTCTAATCATGCAGATAGGCTCAACTGAATGGGTGGAAGACAACAGAGAAATTTTGAAATCAAAGGCGGTCGCATACTTGAATGTGGATATAGCTGTATGTGACAAAGACTATTCTGCTTCTGCGACTCCTCAACTAGACGAACTCCTTAAAGAGGCCGCTAAACAGGTACCTGATTATTAAGCATGCTAACAATCGATATGCTTTCTTATGTTCAATAGGGAAACAAGTGCAACAATACAAGGTTATATGCATATTACCTAAGAAGCTCTTCTTACACCAGAACTAATCAAAACTCTGCCATCTATGTGTCTTAAATTTTTAGGTTCAAGATCCAAATAACGCGTCGAGGAGTGTCTACGACTCATGGACCGGATCAGGAGCTTCTCCACCAGTAAGGGACATTGAACCCTCTTGTTTTGAACTTCTTGCATGAATCAATCACAAAATGGGCACTAACCTGTGGTTTGAGATGTTGCAGATTGGAAGGTTAGGAGGTGGAGGATCTGATTATGCAGCTTTCGTGCAGCATATTGGAGTAGCAGCCGTTGACATGTCTTTCGGAGATGGTAACAAACATGCCACAATCTTTTCGCCATATGATCCCTTATCTATCTCCCACTATAAGAAATAGAACATGCAGTTCAGCAGAGCACCACAGACATGAAGCATAATTATCTTTAGGAAACTAATGAACATTGCCTACTGATACTGCATTTGCAGGATACCCTTTATACCACTCAATGTATGATGACTTTATCTGGATGGAGAAGTTCGGTGACCCAATGTTTCACAGACATGTTGCAGGTGAGAAACCGGTAACAAATACTACAATAATGTCATGTTGAGATTATATGAATTGCTGGTCAATTTATCAACAGAATCATTTCTTAGAGAAACAGTTATTCAACGCCTCAGTCAAAACTAAATCTAAAGCCTAAGTTGCTATATATATTATCATTAAATTTGCAGATTTATACCAAGTGATGAAACATGCTCGTCAACCTGGTCTGATTTTACTTTCTTTTTTCGCATATCAGTTGCTAGCATATGGGGATATCTAGCTCTTCAGTTAGCAGACAAGGAAATTTTGCCGTTTAATTATCTAAACTATGCCGAGGAGCTGCAGGTAGAGCTTTCATAAACTTGTGCAGAGAGGGGCGGTATAAATAAGTCGAGAGACGAACTAACTTACATTTTCTGTATCCATGTCTTGTCCACCAGAAAAGTACAATTGAGTTGGAAGACGAGGTATCTAACAAGATAACAGTCCATCCCTTGCTCAACTCTATCAACAAACTAACAAAAGCAGCCACCAAAGTAAACAATGAGATAAAGGTATGGGTACAGATTCTGCAAGCGCCAAATATTCACACTGATAATAATATCGACTCACACAACAAGCTGGAATCCAATAGGCCATTGAAGAAACCAGCAAATTCACATCAGCTAAGAAGACAGACTTTGCTAGAGTGAGGGAAATCAATGACAGACTAATGATGGCTGAGCGAGCATTTACAGACTCGGAGGGACTACCTGGAAGACAATGGTATAAACATCTGGTATGTCCCTGCTCCCAAATTCCTTATTGAAGCAGCATCATTTCAGAATCAACTCTATCTACTAGATATGGCATTTCCCCCCCCCATCATAATTGTATGAATAGGTACTAAATCTGGTATGTCTCTGCATAACAAATAAAAATCAGGACCACGTTAGGCAAGCCTCCAACTACTGACAATCGTTTGGGTCTAACTTATAAGCCAATATAGCCTAGTAACGGTTTTCTTGCTTACTTTTGCAGGTAAGTGGTCCTGCTTTAACTTATAAGCCAATATAACCTAGTTAACGGTTTTCTTACTTTTGCAGGTATATGGTCCAGCCAAGCATAACGACTACGGGTCCAAGTCGTTCCCAGCAGTAGATGATGCAATAGAGGAGGCAAAGAAACTGAACACAGCAGAATCATGGCAGTCAGTGCAACACCAAGTTTGGAGAGTCTCCAGAGCTATCAATCAAGTGGCCAAGGTCCTCAGTGGTGAACTGACATGATTCTTACACTAAAAATGAATAATCGGAAGAGGTGGGAGAAAAGCACTCAAAAGAACCTCTCTATCTCTTTCAGTCTTTCTGTTTCTAACCCAGCTTTTCTTTTCCCACGTCTCTGCCCTTCCTTTGACGAGGAAGCAGAAAACATTTCCAACTCCTGCAAAACCCCACAATTCGTGTAAAGTTATCATGCAGTTTCTTCAGTTCTGTCGACTAGCAGGTTTCTATGATTCATAGTAGTAGCTTAAGAAGCACGGAAATAAGAAGTGATTCCCTATACTAGGAAACTAATAAACGTCTAGAACTCTAGACAAGATATAAAACTAACTACCCTACAAAATTAAACGAAGGAAACAACTCTAGACAAGACCTAAAATATACTACCCCTTGGCCCCTAAATCCGAAAGAAAAATAATGCACGAGAGCCACAAGGACGATAAACAATGAATTTCTGGGCTCCACGTTGACATGCATTCTTTCCAGGAAATCTACATTATTAAATCACGTGGCACCAGCTTGAACACATAAAAGGCTGTACTAAATGCTCACCATCTAAGAGGACCACACAGCCCACAACACAAGGTACAAGAAGCCGATAAAACGTGTCTATATCATGTAGAAAGGAGAACCCACTAAGCTCTGTGGTTAAAGTTCAAGCCACTGTTTTAAGACTGCTCTTCTGCAACTCAGCAGAGAGCTCTTGTGGACCTTGATCTAATCAAAGTGTTAAAACTTTTGACGTTCGATAATTACATAGGCATCTTTCACATGCTACACGACAAAGAAAAAACAAATCATGAAGTCGCTATCTCGTTTCATTTTAATAAGAGAAAGAAGACACCTTTAAGCTCCTTTTCATCCTTATCAGTTATCACTCGCCATTTCCCCTGTCTACGCACTGCAACTCGTAATCCCATCTCCAAGCGCATCCCTAAGCTAAGCTCCATGATCACAGTCACAGCAGCCATCTACGCAATATTCCTCACCTTATCCACGTCATTCCCAATCGTCTTCTCCACTCACACTCCAAAATCCTACTACCACTCTCTCTTCCTGTCCACCTCCCTCGCCGACAATGCCTCCGTGGCACACAACCTCTACATGCTCACCCGCCGGCCGCACGTCGCCGGCACGGAAGCCAACGCCGAGACCGCCGACTACGTACTCACCACCCTCACTTCCCACAACATCAACTCCCACATAGTCTCCTATGACGTGGCGCTGACCTACCCTGACTCACGTTCCCTGACGCTGACTCCTAAACCAGGCCATCCACCGGTGGCGTTCGATCTCCGTCAGGAGATCTACGCCGGCGATCCCTACGCCGACGTGGCGAGCCAGGTCATGCCCACGTTCCACGGGTTCGCCAAGTCAGGGGACGTCACGGCGCCCGTGACGTATGCGAACTACGGAGGAGTGGAGGACTTTACGACGTTGAAGGAGATGGGAGTCAACGTGAGTGGGACGATTGTGCTGGCGAGGTACGGGAAGGTTTTCAGAGGGGACATCGTGCATAATGCGTACACGGCAGGGGCGGTGGGGACGATTATATACTCGGATAGGAAGGACTACGGCGGCGGAGGGAAGGACGCCGGGTGGTTTCCGGAGGCGAAGTGGCTGCCGCCGACGGGAGCTCAGATGGGTAATGTTTATACGGAGGCCGGTGATCCTACGACTCCTGGGTGGCCGAGTAATGAAGGGTGCGAGAGGAGGGATTATGAGGAAGTGGAGAGGTTGGGGATTGTGCCGTCGATACCGTCGCTGCCGGTGTCGGGAGCGGACGGCGAGACGATCATGAAGTCGATTGGTGGGAAGGTTGCCGATGAGGATTGGCAAGGGAGTGATGATGCTCCGACTTACAGGGTCGGACCAGGGCCAGGTGTTCTAAATCTCAACTACAAGGTACGTAAGTTATAAATCTTATGGGATCATTCGAACAGAGGTAAAATTGCAACGCTGAGAGGTTCTACTAATGGTGGGATTCCAGGCAAAAAAGACTATAGCAACTATTCATAACGTGATCGGGATGATTGAAGGATCAGAAGAGCCTGATAGGTAATGTAGAAGAACATTTTGCATGAATTTGCTACGAAATCGCATATCAAGTTTCGTCGGGTTAATTTGAGTAGAGAAAAGGAAAAAATATTGAGAACTGAAATCAAGTTACCTGCTTCTTGTACGGCAAACTGGCTAGATATGTGATCCTGGGTAATCATCGGGATGCATGGACATTTGGAGCAGTTGATCCCAACAGTGGAACTGCAACACTTCTTGAGGTAATCATGGTCAGAGTAGATTGGCTGATCAAGTGGAGCTTTGGAGATAACTGTATAATGTATCTGCAACAAAAACGTAGGTTGTTCAAAGACTGGAAAAACTGCAGAAGAAAGGCTGGAAACCTAGAAGAACAATCATCTTTTGCAGTTGGGACGCCGAGGAGTATGGCTTGGTCTCTCTCTCTCTCTCTCTCTCTCTCTCTCTCTCTGCTTCACATACAATATATGCCTCTTTGCACGGATTTGGAGTCTGCAAAATAAAGCATAATGAAACAAATGAATTGCAAGTGCAGATAGGATCGACTGAGTGGGTTGAAGACAACCGAGAACTGCTGGCTTCGAGAGCTGTTGCGTACTTGAACGTGGATATTGCAGTGAGTGGTGACGAATACTCTGCTTCTGCAACTCCTCAGCTTGATGAATTACTCAAACAGGCCGCTAAACAGGTACCTGATTATGGCAACCAAGAAATAACAAGTTTGAAGAACTGAAATCTAGACGTGTTTTTCAATGTTATATAGACGAACAAAACGGCGTGTCTATCAGAAAGCTTTCAGAATGCATAGCAAATTCTGTTCTTCCATCTAATTTACCAAATTTGTTCTGATGTCTAAAGGTTCAAGACCCAGATAACTCATCACAGACTGTCTATGACTCTTGGGCTTCTGCCTCCAGCAGTTCCCCATGGGCTGCTGTCTCCAGCAGTTCCCCAAGTGTAAAGGTAATTTCACACCTTGTTCCAATTCTTCTTAAAGGAATCTGAAAACCACCATATAAGTGTAGATAGCTCCAAGAAGGGGATTTTGAAGGGTTGAAGGGCCTCCATGCCAAAACTACAGCACTAACATGTCTTGCAACTGTACAGATTGAAAGATTAGGGGGTGGAGGATCAGATTTTGCAGCATTTGTACAGCATATTGGTGTAGCATCCCTTGAAGTAACTTACGGAGGAGGTAACAATCTGCATTTCTGTTTTTTGCTCTTGCCACAAAGATGAACTTTTCTTAGCAAAGAAACAAACAACGCTATGTGAACATATAATACTTCTAGTCTGCAGTGACATGCAGCCTAAACTCATCTCTAACCAAGAAGTACCATAAATCACTTGCATAGTTCAAAGCAGTCATCAATCCCTAAAATAAACTTAGCTGTGTATGATTCCTTGACCTGGACATCAATTGCATTTTTCTTCTGCCCTGCTGACAATAGATTTATCCATGCAGCTTACCCTGTATACCACTCAATGTATGATGACTTTGTCTGGATGGAGAAGTTTGGTGACCCAATGTTCCGCAGACACATTGCAGGTGTGTAGAATGGAGAATTTCAACTATCTTTTCAGATGGTAAAACTGTTATGCTCAACAGAATCATTCTAGTAGATGAGGGGATACAAACAGTCCATACTGAAGCCTTACTTGGACTAAGAAACTGATACAAAAATTCTTATACTGAATCCGAAAGAGAAGAGTGGCCATAATGTTGTGTCAAATGCAGCTAAACTACATGTTGAATCATGCATCTCAGCCTCAAGTTTAATTTTTTTTTTTTTTATTTACCTACAGTTGCAAGCATTTGGGGATATCTAGCTCTCCAGTTAGCAGACAAGGAAATTTTGCCTTTTAACTATCAGTCCTATGCTGAAGAGCTTCAGGTACTGCTATTTGTGCAGAACCAGGGTACATCCCTGGTAACTAACTGGCTATCATGAGAAATTTTGGTATTTATGTGTTTAATCCATGTATAACAGAGAAATGCAAAGGAGTTGGAAGATCAGATATCAAATCAGATAACAGTTACTCCCTTGCTTACTTCTATTGATGCACTATCAAAAGCAGCAGCCAAGATAAACAATGAGATAAAGGTATGAACAAGGCAATTTACTAACACGGTATGCAACAGAAGATTGATAATAGCAAGCAATAAAGTAACACGGTATGCTGGCATCTATAGGGGATTGAAGAAACCATAGGATGGGCATCAATTGTGAAGGCCGACGCCACAAGAGTGAGGGAGATCAATGACAGACTAATGATGGCTGAGCGTGCATTTCTTGACCGAGAGGGGCTTTCTGGAAGACCATGGTATAAGCATATGGTATGCTTCTAACTTTGTTACCAATTCCTGACTGATGTTATTCCGTCAAAACTTTTGGAGACCATTTCCAACTACACCATCCACATGGCTTAAAGTAAAAAGCTCAGAGCCCCATTGGCCTACTAAAAATTGGAAGTTCTATCAGTCCAAGTCAATGATATGGACCAATTTTTTCTATGGAACAGATATATGCACCTGCAAAGCATAATGTGTATGGAACAAAGTACTTCCCAGGCATTGATGATGCAATAGAGCAGGCCAGGCGTCTGAATACTGAAGAATCATGGAAGGTGGTGCAACATGAAGTTTGGAGAGTCTCCAGAGCCATTAATCAAGTCACTAAGGTCCTTAGCGGTGAATTGACATGAAATGTACAGTAAAAGGCGGGACTTACTGGTGCTGACAGGAACCAGCCGCCACTGAATGCCTCCAAATCAGTACCTTTCTACTCCACTTCAATACAAGTACTTTGAATCCCCTTGCAAGAATGGTGCAACAAATAAATTTCAGAAAGTCGAATACGATCAGAATCAGCTTCAAATCCTTCGTTGTACGCATTCACCCTACTATGTGAATATCAAAATAACCACACACAAAAAAAAATCCCATCACAGGAACAAGGGCTGATGAAAACATGGGCTGCCAGTTGATTTGGGTTCTTGTTTTGGTTTATTGGGGTAAAATTAAAATTGGAAGAAAAACACTTCTCGACAATATAATAAGAATAAGAAGAGAAAGATGTATATATTTCTACAACACAGTTTACGAATCGAATATTGCTAGATGCAGACAAACGTAGGTCTTCACACGTTTGGCCTTTGTGAGCTTGAATGAAATTTTACAACAATTGCGAAGGCACAAATTTTCCCACCAGTAGATAAGAGGAGGGTAACGCATAAGGGAACTGCATAGAGTACCTGAAGCTTGTTTGAGAAATAAACCAAGGAGCTCCATGATAAACATTATAAGCATTTTAGTTCTTGCATAAAGTCAGACACTTGTTACCCCCAGCCGCCATTATTGAAGCAGCCAACTATTTACAACAACTTCTGGTAATTGAGAAGTTGCATTACAGAACCAAAATCCATCTCCAAGCACATTCCAGAGCTGCATTTTTTGCCTTACCCACTTCTTTCTCCAAAGTCCTACTACCACTCTCTCTTCCTATCAAACGCCCTCGCCGACAATGCATCCGTAGCACACAACCTCTAAATGCTTACCCGCTGTTCTCAAATTGCTGGCGCAGAAGCCAACACCGAGACAGCAGATTATGTTAAGTCTATACTAATCTCAAACAAGATAAAGTCACACACAGTCTCCAATGATGTAGCCTTGACATACCCTGCCTCACGTTCCTTGATACTAACCCCTGAAACAGGTCATCCACCGATAATATTCAACCTTAGCCAGGAGATCTACAAAAGTGCTGCAAACAAGGTTATGCCGACATTTCATGGGTATGGTAAGTCAGGGACCGTGGAGGCACCTGTGACTTACGCAAACTATGGGCGCTTAAAGGACTTTGCAACACTGAAAGAAATGGGGATCAAAGTTTCAGGGAGGCTGGCGACCCTACAACACCTGGATGGCCGAGTACTGAAGGTTGTGAGGATAGCTTATGAGGAAGCAGAGAAGACAAGAGTCCTTCCATCCAAACCATCGCTTCCAATATCAGGAGCATATGGTGAAACGATCATAAAGTCGATTGATGGAAAGGTGGCAAGGAAGCAAAGATGGTCCAACCCTATTGCTTCTCCAACCTACAGGGTTGGACCAGGGCCAGGGGTTGTAAATCTCAGCAACAATGTAGGTCATATAATCCTCAGTTAATTGGATTTAAGCTCTCTATAGATGCTTTTACTAAAACAGTAATGAAAGTATGATTTCATTCACCACTGACTACGGCCAATGTATGGGATTTCAGGCGACAAAAGACTATAGCAAAATACATACTGTTATTGGGATAATTGAAGGCTTGGAAGAACCTGATCGGTGAGAAAACTTTAGAATCGTGCAATTATTCGCACATCTAAATTTCAGTATGCTGATTATATAAAATAACAAACAAGGATCAGACATATAAAACTCATTTGCTTGCATATTTAAAGCATCAAACCCCTCTTTTCTAGATTTAAAAATCAAAGATTATCCATGAAGGCGCAAACATAAATTTATAATATTTTAATAGATCCAATCAGTGAATGAACATAAAGAGTTGGATATTTAGGACTTATCTGCTTCGAAAATCTAGATTTGTCCTCCTGGGCAATCATCGGGATGCATGGATATTTGGAGCAGCGGCTCCCAATAGTGGAACTGCAGCATTGCTTGAGGTAGTCCTGGTCCCAATAGATTGTCATATCAAAGTACTTTGCAGGAACAATATTCGGAAAATGTTGGACATGAGTGAAATCTCCACATTAAATACAGGTTGCTCAAAGGCTGGCAAAGTTGCCCATAGTCCAACTGTTGTGCAGATAGGATCAACTGAATGGGTGGAAGACAACAGGGAAGTGTTAAAATCAAAAGCTGTTGCCTACTTAAATGTGGATATCGCAGTATGTATGAAGGGTATCCTGATTCAGCAACTCCTCAACTTGATGAACTACTCAAATGGACAACTAAACAGGTACCAGAATTTGTATCTAATAGTCTATGAAAGAAACAGAAGAATTCTTGTGATATAATTTGTTAAGACTGAAAGAAATGGGAAGGGATTTCGTGACTGTTACGGAAGGCTTTGGAGAGGAAAAAAAAATCAAGAAGACTTTTCAGCTTACCGAGCCTACCACCTTTGGACACTCAAATAAATCAAACTCACAAATGATGCTTAAAGACCCAAAGAACACGTCACAGACTGTCTACGATTCATGGGCAAGCTCCAGCGGCTCTACTCAGGTTAGGGAAATTCAAATCATTGTTTAGAGTTGTGTTGAACTCTCAAAACAACCTACACAGAAGAAGGCAGTTTCCACAACTGTCAGCATATATATTTCGAGAGAGATATAGAGTGCACTAACCTGGCTTTTAAATGGTGCAGAGTGGAAGGTTAGGGGATGGGGGTTCAGACTATACAGCATTTGTACAACATACTGGCGTGCATCAGTTGACATGTCTTATACTGTAGTGAGAGATATAGAGAGTAAATATAGAGTTTACTAAACCTGGCTTTCAAATGGTGCAGATTGGAAGGTTAGGGGTCGGGGGTTCAGACTATACAGCCTTTGTACAACATATTGGTGTGCCATCAGTTGACGTGTCTTATACTGTAGGAGGTAACGAACATACTGCATTTTCTGCTCCATCTCACCACATACCTAGAAAGAAAAAAAAAGAACAATGTGATGTTCACATATTAACTATGTCTATAAATATTAAGTAACATGCCGCCCTTCCTTGAACAATTTGTACAGACTACAGAGTCAATGATGCAATCACCTGACCGCTGACCGTATGCAAAGATGGCCTTTTACTGGCAGCTTAAAATTAACTTCTACAATATCCTTTATTCACTTGTACAACTTAAATTCACTACAAAACTTCCACCCTCTGTGATCTCACAACCTTCATCAAAATAACTTGAAATACTCGAGAAGTTCTCAGCTGTTTGACATTAATCAGCAATATATTTACTAGTGTGTTCTGACTGCAATATCTACAGATTACCCTGTGTACCACTCAATGTATGATGACTTTACCTGGATGGAGAAGTTTGGTAATCCTATGTTTCACAGACATGTTGCAGGTATGAAACTTGAGCAACTAGACTTTCAAAAACAAAACTTCATGGAATTATTCTCTAGAGGAAAATGACAAGTTGAATTCATCCTAAAAGTTGCCCCACAAAACCAAACAATAACAATAGTCTCATTTAGTATGCAACATCATTCTGAATCCTGTATCTCAACCTGAAACTTCAATTTTCACTTAGCAGTTGCGAGCATTTGGGGCTTTCTAGCTCTTCAGTTTGCAGACAATGAAATTTGGCCTTTCAACTATCTTTCCTATGCCGAAAAGCTTTGGATATAGCTCTCATGAACTTGTACCCACCCATTACAGAACTTGAGCAATTGTCTATCAATGAAAAATTAAGCGTACATTGATTTATAAATGATTTACATGTATTGCATTTATGTGCAACAGAAAAGCACAAATAAGTTGGAAAATGAGATATCAAATACAACACTTGCTCCCTTGCTCAAGTCTGTTGATGCACTAACAAAAGCAGCCACAAACATAAACAATGAGAAAACATAAGATAATTCTTTCATCCAAAAAAATGTATATGATAAAAGTTCCCACAAGTAAAGATTGACAATAATAATGCTGAAGAAGGATCAACTCACACAGTAATCTTGCCATCTATAGGCAATTGAAGAAGACATATGGCGGACTTCACTACCGAAGACAGACTTTGCAAGAGTGAGAGCAATAAATGACAGACTAATGATGGCTGAGCGAGCATTTACTAATACAGAGGGGCTATCTGGAAGGCCATGGTAGAAGCATTTGGTATGTGTTTCTGTTTCACCGCCAAGTGCATATCCAAATTTATATCAACCCTTTTTTAAGAATCATTTCTACCACATAATAATGCTGGGACAGTCCAGCCTAGAGGTAAAGGTAGATAGAAACATGAATCAATCCAAGTGTCAAACTTTGGAACCAACATTGAATCCTAGTTTCAAACCTTGGCATTCATAAATAAAATGCAATACTAACAGGAACTCTATCCTGACATGTCAAGCTGACATGCATATCTGTATTTCACAGATATATGCACCTTCCAAGCATAATGATTATGGATCAATGTCGTACCCTTGGATAGATGATGGAATAGAAAATGCAATGACTCAAGATACAGCAGAATCATGGCAGTCAGTGCAGCATGAAGCCTGAAGAGTTTCGAGAGTTATTAAACAGGTCGCACAGGTCCTCAGTAGTGCATTGACATGAATTGCACGGAAGAAATTCAATGAGAATATGAGACTGCCTGATGCTACAGAAACAATGACAGGGCGTTTGTGCCGAGTCTCATCAAATCAAACAGTTGCAATTTTACCTTAATACAAGTACTTTGTACCCTAGCAAACTGTTGTGGTTACTAATTATATTCCATCTACAAGATTCTGGGAAGTTTCTGCCTCTGTATGCACAATATCTTTCAAGTCCTTTCAAAGACGAAAGGCCACAGATTAACCACTGTACTGACAGCTCCCCATATCTCGCAAGTCATTACCGTCTCACAACAATTCTAATCTAACTCAATGACCAGTATGTCCAGCTCCCATTAAACTTAAACCACTTCATGCTGATCCCAATCTAATGCACCCTCAACAATTCAATTTCACATCTGCAATCATAGATAAATCCTGTAGTCTGTTGTTTACATAATCAACAACCTTGGGTCTTATGTACTAAGAGCGAAGACTAGTAACAATCATCAAATTACCAAACTGTAGATCCTTAGCAACTGAATGAAAGCACCAACGGTGAAGCCCAACAGGCAACCGGTAACCATTCACAGTTCACTGGTCTGGTTTCACAAAGAAACAAACTTTGACACTATTACAAAAGTAAATACAGGATTTTATGCCAATCACAAATACCGCAACCCAAGAAATCAAACAAGCAGAAGAGAAAATATAGCATGCCATTGAACCACTGGAATAATGCATACCTCGAATGAAGATCTTTCCAATAATATCTCCTCTGGTGCCAAAATTTCCAACTTATGCTACCACGGGCCGAAAGGTGATCTACATTAACCCATCCCACCAAGCAGTTTCCATTTCCCCAACATCGCATAATAAAAAATATGGAAAAGAGAGAGAATACCTGGTAGCGCCCTATTCCCATTATTAAAAAGGTGGGTTTTCAAGATAATTCAGGAGAAAAGAGTGAATTATCCTTTTTATTAAAGTTGACAATGGCCACAAGCCTACCCCAGAATGCATATAAATAATAGGTTAAGTTATTATACTTATACTAGTTTCCCATTCTGTACAAATAAAGAAGGCGTATCATTTCAAAATATTACCAGAACTTAGAGACAAATTCTTATCAGAATAAGGCAATTCATAGGACACTACTTTATGTACATTTTGAACTATCACCAACTCTATATGTACAACAAGTCACTTGCAAGCCTGATTTATTTACTTCCAAACCTTGATAGCTCCATCTCTACCACTTGAAATCAGGAGTCTTTGGTTCAACTTTACAGAGGCCAAAGCCAAGACAGAATCCCTGTGGCAACCGGCAGAGTCTGTAGCAGCTGCTGCTAAAACTGCCTTTGTAGTCAACTTTACTGTTGAGGGTCTTCTAATCTCCTGTTGAAAAGAAAAAGAGGATAATGTTTAACTATGAGACTACGGCCACCAAAAAAATTAATAATGTTCAACTCAATTAATAATCAAGCACTTAAGCAACAGTTAAGTAGGAACTATAGCTCTACCTAGTTTTGAAGACTTGAAGGGAAGCCATATGCATGCATAATAGATAGATAACCAAGTACTGTGAATAAATATCTCCCAGACATCTATAACTGATAGTAGATGAGCCATAAAAAAGAAAGCGGATGAGACGATGAGGATGCTAAATTTGAGCAGGTTTTAGCAAGAAAGCCAATTTGGTTCAAAACATGGAACAATTGCATCTGCTCTAGACATTGGTATTACCTTCAGTGTAACTACATCACCTATATGGAACTCCAACATCAAAACTTCCCTCGGCGTAAAGGGGGTTTACGAAATCCAACTAAGCATATCTATAAAATATATTAAAGCATTTTAAGAGTTCCATCCCATCCACGTAAGCCTTCCTCAACACACAACTATCCACGTCAGCACCTTAAAAGCTTCTTCTTTCTCTTATGCGAGAAAACCAACACCCTCCTCCCTTTTGACTCAACTCCAGCCATTTCCTTCTCCCCAAATCACAACGTTTCATCCCTCCTTTTTCCTTTCAACGGCCCTTGCTCTGCCCCGTAGTTCTATCTTCTAAATTTCCCTTCGAAACCCCAAGAACTACGACCGCATTTAAACCTTCAATTTCACCAAGAATTGTCTTGGCAAAGACGCTCAGATTGTTCGACTGCACATCAGCGGCATGCAGAACGGTCGGATGGCGGTAATGAACCAACAAGGAGCAGCCGGTAGAGTATGCTTCGGCAGGGGCATATGAGGAAGAAATCGTGATTCAGAGAAACAGAATCAGGTGATGGAGAAGATACCCTCGCCGAAAAGGGTTTCCGGGAAGCCCGGCAAGCCGGTTCCTCGTGGAAATACTCACCAAAATTAGAAGGGTGTGTGTACAAAACAGAGGATGTAGCGATGTTGAAGGGCTTCGGTGGATTCATCTACTACATTGACATAAGATTCAAAGACACGCTCTGTGACTTGGGCTACATCGGCGACAACCTGCCGGTGGTCGTCGTCGCCAGCACTCAAATTATGAACGGTTGTTTCTTGAACTTCACGACGGGGGATTTTGGTACAACCCGGTCAGGACACTCTCATCCAATATTACATCAACCCAACCAATCAAGATATGCCTACTTATTTTTCCCTTTCCCTGTGTTCTATTGAATCTCCTTTTGTTGGTTGGAAATTTGGGATCAATAGGGAGCTTCTTCTCACTTCCAGTGCCAATTATATTGATGTTTATGTCTTCAACTTCAATGCTCTTTATATCGATCCGTTGTATTGTTGTTGTACTCTTCCAACAGAATGCCTACTTAGTTTTTCTTTCTGCAGAATAGTTCTTTGACTCAAATATGTTATTTTGGAAAGATTAATGTTGCTGCTGTCATCATTGCACTTCCAAAATAAGGTTATTGGTTCATTCTTTTGAGTTTGTCCTTTTACTTCTTTGCTCTATTTTGCTGTGATAGAACATTCAAGTAGATAGATACTGAATTCAATTCACAAGATTTAGCAATGTTTTCCCTGCAGATTGTTTGTCAACTCTTATGCAAGAAAGTCTAAAATTACTTAATAATGTACATCATGCTTAATGGGTTCCTACTATGAATTACGATTACTTACGCTTGCCCTCTGCTCATGATCCATAGTCCACCAAAGTTGGATCTTCATACATATATAGTGATTTAGCATTTCACTAAGCCCTTATAATTAAATCAATAAAGCCAGCGTATGCCACTAAATCAAACAAGTATTTCCTTTTATTTAATTAGAGGAACCAATGTACAGCTTAATTTTTCAGATTTGACTATTTTTTTGAATGCATACTCATCCATTCTATAAAAAAATTGCATACTCATCTATTCTTTTAAAAAAATTGCATACTCATCTGCACCCTCAAATGGACAGAAAAGGATGTGTCTCACTACCCCCACAAACGAAATACCTTTTTTTTTTTTTTTTTGCAGTTTCTTGACCTCATAGTAGTAAGTTCTAGATTATATTTGTGTTTGAACATGATGTATCTGTCATAGCCATCTTAAGTCGTCTGGGTTGTCTTTGTTTTCTTATATATATTATGATTTGTTGTGACACTACAAACACCTCCGTTCTTACGTGACTTGGATAAATTTATTTTGCTACAAAATAAATCTCTAATTTCATTCTCAAACCAGAGTAAAAAAGAGATGTCAAGCCACACCATCCCCTGCACTCAAGGTTGTCAAGAGATAATTAGGACTGGCAATGCTCGCTCCAGACCCCAACGAAAAGCTACTAGCGACCACATCATTTCAAATTCAAGAAACAATATAATCAAACAAGAAGCTCAACAGTACTTCGGCCTTCTTTGATTCCAAATGATCAAATCGTTGCATCCTTCAATTGTGAACTATGTTAACAGAAATTCAAAATTTCCATCATACTATGTTTTTGAACTACTCTTGCCCCAAATTATTATATTAAGGATACTGATATATTATGTTAGTGTATTGTTAATGTAAGTTAATCTGCATTAAAACTTTTTCCCTCCAGAGTAGGTATCATAATTCCAAAATAGATACGCAGAGAATGAGACACAAATGATAGGATAATTAACTACATATCAAGTTGGACAAAGAAATAAAAACGAGCGGAAAAAGGATGACCAAACGGACCAAAGACAAAAATAAACCCGGGCAAAAGCTAGTGATACAAGAAAGGATTATAGCCTAACCAACGAGCTTGAAAATAGATAACAAACCTGCACAACTTGCACCCCGGAATATGACCTCGCCTCAAAGAAATTCTCATTTCCAGTTCCTTTTAAATTTGGTCCAGATATGCAGTAACTTTTCTCTGGGCTGCAAGTGGTGGACCAAATTTGAAAATTACTGCAGGTAGAGTACGAGAGAGAATGAACGAAAATGGGAACAAAAAAGCTAGATATAATTCAATCAAGACCTGCAATGATCCCATCGACGTATCCTCAAATCAGTACTCCCAGTCAACAAATCACCCCCAGGTAAAGGAAGCATCGCCCGGATACCCGGAAGGCGAGTAGGAGGTTCATTCAGCTCATCAACTCGGTATTTTGGATTGACATTACGCCTATCTGATCTAGAAATTGCCTTATTGGAAGGCCTGGTTAATGCTGACGGTACATCAGAACTTTCAGGATCACCCTCATAATTTGACATTCTAAATACCTGAAACACAGTCAAATATTGGACAAAATGGAACTCGAATTGATAAAATAACAAAAACATTACATCAGAAAACAGCAAATACAGATATGTGTTCGACCATGTAAGCATCATCAGACTTACAACTTACAACCTAGCTTACTTATTCCTCATTATATCAGCCTCATCTCATTAGACAAGAGGGAGAAGTGCAATAACTACAATTTCATTAGGTTCAGGAACTTCAGAAATAATGTTCGGAATAAACTGCTAAAAATGAAAGAGGCGAAGGTTAACCAGTTTTTCTGATTAG